TTGTATGCAACGTATTAATATACGTTGGGTAAGGGCAAACCTGTTATATATAATTAACATCTCCCCAACGCAAAAAAAAAAAATACATCTTGAAAAAAAGGTACCAACTTAAATAATTTCTGGCTGACACGCCTTGTATGCACTGTCCCAGGAAAACTGTGCTAACATGAGCTAATTCTGTCATATTTTGATAATTATCATAGTGAAGTGACTAGATGTCAATCCTTCTGGTCATACTTACACGTTCTATAAGTCACCCCAATTTTTTTTATCTAACAAAACTACGTCTTAAAAAAGACCATACACCATACCCCGCCGAATCTGAGATGAAGAATTGTGCTCTAATTTCTGCATCAATATCAAGCACAAATCGTTAAAAATCGTCTCAAGTTTCCAATTTTCAGGACGTATAATGGAAAGTCATTTGATATTATTAAGAAATGCACTTTCAACAAAGTGATCTCCGGGTAAACATTTTATTATTCATGCGAGAGAAATACTGCTATGATACTATAAAGAGCAAAATTCAAATTGAATGAGGTGAACATTGATACTGGAGTCCATTTCATTTTTACCATTCTAAGTATTTTTTCAATGAGGAGGGGTTTTTTTCTGCGCATAATAGTTATCCAGTATTTAATGAAGCCTCAGCACTTAGGCTACGACCATGTTTACCTTTCGGCAAGTTTAAAGTCATCATCCACAATAGACGGTACTTGGCCTAACGGATTGATGGCCAGGTAGTCTTCATGTCTCTGTTCACCTGAAAAGACGACATGGAGACATTGATTATAAGTGACCTTATAATCTTGCAATCAGCACATTACGTCGCTATTTTACAAGTTTGCCCGTCTGCACCGCGCTCATTGGGAGATGGGACAGGATACACAGCGTGTATACCCAGCAAGAAATGAGACCGAGGGATATCCCCCAACATTTCCAATCACTATTATACACACTCTAGACTATTGTTACCTAACACATCCCCCTAGATGTCTGAAACGAATTCTTCATATTCCAGTGAAACAATGACCAACACAAAACAAGGGGGGGGGGTTCTCTCCGTCTCATATCTTGCTTCATGTGCCAGCACAATACGCGGTAAGGGGGCCCCATGTAATGCACAAACTGTATATCCTAAAGCTATTGTGCCTACTGTACCCCCCTTGGAAATCTGAAAGGAATTCCAAGGATTCCATCAACACAAAGGAAGACACAATAAAGGGGGTCCCCCTTTGTCGTATATTGCACATCATATGGGGAAAGGCAGCTATTCTAGTAGACATATGACATCATTTTTCCAAGCACTAAGATTCCAACGTTTTAAACAATGACACGGGCGAATTCCGCGTGCCAGGTGCGCACTTCATGGACATGCACTGATTAGGTAATTCACAATACGTGTGCGTCAGTGAATGGGATTGCCCTATTTCCTTCACACGATTCGGTGAAGGAGGTTAGTTACCCTCCCCTGTAGATTTGGGTGATGGGAAGCGAGTTCCCATATTTTAATGTACAAACAAATGAAACCATTTGGAATCTTTTGTAAGTCTAAAGTGCAAGGCACACGTAGCCTATTGCTTCGGTTGCGAACGCAAACGCAAAAGGGGAGTCAGGTCAGTGTATAGTGGCTCTTCAAGTTCCCCGTCTTCCACCCCTGTGACCTGGGTCGATAACCCACCCAGGTCAGCATTGACCTGGATTGGGTTTTCAGTCCCTGCCTGATTCCGTGGGTTTCCCTGGAGCCATGGGTATTCCCTGTACCTCTAAAACTGGACGCTTCTTCATTGTCTTCTTAATGATCACTTCATCCTGTAATAAGCGCCAAAATTTGCCATTGGATGAACCGATATAAATAGACAAATAAAAGTGTCTTATTTCTCAAAATTCCCATTCGTATAAGAAACATACCGTGGAGCAAGTCAATATTTTTCTCAACGTACGGAATCTTCGCAACCTTACAGAACAGGTAGACACTGCGAGAAGGCTGGGACATCCGATATCCATAGACCGTCAACACCATGGCGGACAAGAAAGGTTCAAACCCTGAACAGTATCCAAGTTTAATAATAAAAGCCGTTAATGACGTCCAATTAAGTACATGTATATTCACTATCTTACTATCTGAATAATATTGATATATACACAATTAAACCAGCTGTGGCCCTGTTTTTTAAAGGTCTCCTTATGTGTTGGTGCCGGAAGGCAACAATTTCTGGGCGTAAACCTGTTCCAAGGACGGGGGGGGTGACTTAAATTGCCTGGCCCTACACAGAATCTTAACCCCGGCCTTACCTTACATCAAAACGACTAAATTAATGCTTTTGTACTCTTTCAGCATTTATTTTGGTTGTTGGGACGCTCGATAAATATCTCCAACTTCTTTTTTGATTCAAAAGCCCATCCCAAAGTCAAAATATGGGACATATACCCGAAGAAGGTGTGCTCATGCACAAGTCTACTGAAATCCCCATACTATACTGACTACACGGGCACTTTCAGTGTCCTTCCGCTTTAGATATCACTAAGTAATAGAAATGATTATTTAATTGCCATTATTTTCAATATTGAGTTTCTCAAAAGTCTTTGACCGTTCTGCAACCTATGATGGGGCCAAAATCATGAGATAAACGCTGTAGGTTCCATAACCAGCGTCTCTATTGAGGAAGAATCAAAGACTTTTTAGTGCTCAGTTCTGTGTCCTATTTGCGAATACGATCGCTTCATTGACGTCACAACTGACCTCACAAAGAGTCATGAAACAATCCTCGTTGAACGAGATTAGTATGTTCGGTCCCCATAGACTGTGCGTGCATTCAGTTTGTGTATTCGCGCATGCGCAATTGTGGTCGTCGGCCTGAAAATTTTCTAGCAGACGACAAATATCGGGGGTGACCCATGTGAGGAATTTGTCCTGCCATTTCCCTTGAAAACTTTGCGCATGAATAAATTACCAAGAATCTGTCAAACGGTGATATTTAATAGCTTCTAGGATAAAATATCACCGGGAAAAAATCAAAGAAATGGAAAATGTCAATTTTACGACAAAGGATAATCATGACAAAAATTTCGTGTTTTTTTACAGCTAACTTTGTGTCTAATTTTCACACTTTTGCCGGGTTTACCTTCAAATAACTTCGATGCCACATGAACGACTAGTAACTCTCATGAACAAAACCGTTTATTAGAATACGGTAGCATCCTTGATTTTGGTCTCATTGTATACTGGACATTGTTTGCGTATTTTCTGAATTTTCTTGTGAAATAAAAACGCGCGGGTTGCTGATTTCAATCCACCTTCAGCGAGGGATAACGTCGTCCTTTTGCCTCTGCGATATCAATCATATTTCTGGCAGTTTCCTGGAGGCATGAAAAAGCAGTCCAACTGATGAGTTGCATTTTAAGTATCTTCGCATTCGATCATGTTACATGTTATTATTTGTATGGACTTTCAAGAGTAGGTAATTTCAGACATAATATGTCTTTCTGAGCTTTTTTCTTGACGACGCTCTATTTCCTTGAGTTTGTGAGATTGTAAAAACAAATTAACTCAAAAAGTAACAGTGAATTCCACGAGCAGATTTCCAATCAAAGTGTATTATCACTAGTATATTATTTTGTACATAATGTGTTTTATACTTGTAATTAAATTGTAAACAATATTCTTTTTTAATGACTACATGGACCATTCCTGGTAAGTTTAAGTAATGTGGGACATATTATAGTAAGGGAATCGCTGTCCTACAACAATTAACATTAAACCTGTAAGAAGGAAACAAAATTTCAAGTAATTTACTGGGTTTTTTTCTTTAAATTTCAGACAGTTCTTTGTCATCATCCCTGTTGACTGTCTAAGTTTAGTACGCTTGATACACCCTGATAAAAATGTGTACATTGGAAATAGCTGCTTCCAGCAATCTTCATTTCTGAGCACATCCCCTCGGTAACAACTTCTGGGCAGAAAACCCTTTTTGGAACTTCACCATGTGCTCCATTGGGACCAATTTACGTCGTTTTCCGTGTTTTTCACCTTGCTTAATTAGTTTTCACATTTTGTCAAATTTTCCCCAGGTCATCGGAGATACTGTCTGGAAGACTGATGAATCATTTGTATCCATCAGTTCGACAGCCATTTATCTGAAACGCGGTTGGCTTTTCATGCGGATCAAATTTCCGCACTGAGTCCAACATGCCCGACAGCAGTCGGCAAAAATGAAATGTCCGGATTTGGGGCATGGCATATACACGTACACGCACACCCATGGATACGAACGCATTTCGGTACGAGTTGACAATTTACTGCATGGCACCAATTCGTACAATGATGTCAAATTGCCTGACTAAATGACACAGACAAAAACTTTCCGTTCTCGTTCATACGGTTTCCTTCTTGCATGATACTTGCTCATTAGAACGTTCACGATATTCCTCAACATTCAGAAGTAGAGAAACGTCAGGGAAAACCCGGCAAAACGGGGAGAAAATCCCTTCTAAAATGTTGCCTTCACTTCCACTTTCTGACTCTGTTACTTCGGAGGTACGTTAGAAAGACGGGGCAAAACTTTGGCAGAAAATGGATTTTTATCGTGTACAAGTTAGCAAAAGGGACTTTTAGTGTATAAATATGAATTGGTAAGGAAATGAAAGCCAAACAACTATATCTGATCTTGATGTTTATCGATTACTTTCAGGGTCCACCTGTTCGAGTCGAGTCATTTTCCTGGCTTCTGGTTAGTGGGATTCAGTACGCATGCGCACAAACTGCGTGAGGGTATGAACATACGTGATAGACAGGTGCGTCAAGGTCAGGTTAGAAATGACAGAAGTTCAACGATTGTGCATAGGGCAAGTTGCCAAGAATCGTCCGCCATTGACCTGGCGAGTGTTTACCTTGATACTAGGAAGGAAACATTTAAGTTCAGTGATATTGCATGGGCCCGGCAAAATGCCAGGAATGGGCATAGCCGGGTCTACCGCCAGTTTCTATAGAAAGCGCTTCCAGCTTTACATGTATACTTATTGCGGGTCAGCTCCCCGTGGCATCAGCCTTAAGCGCTGAATACATGTATTTGCAGCTAATCTGCCCCCGGCCTTGAAAGTGACACAGACGTCTCAGTGCGTCCCGGAACACAACTCACTTGTGGTGTTGATCAATGTTTACCCTCGGCTGACTGCGAGACATCGACGATACACGAGCCACTGAGTTCAAGTGTTACTACAAATCAAAGCCCTGGCGTGCAAACACAAATGCAAACTGCGTGCGAGTGATGGGGTTATCTGCAGGGTCACATACACACTATTTGCGTTCACGGACACAGCTGTAATTGAGTGTGATACTGTTACGGTCAAGTTCGCCCCAACCACATGCATATGTCCCAACTATGGACAGTCCCAACTATAGTGCTGCAGTTGGGCTGGCCCAACTAAACAAGTTGCAGACCATCTGTATAAAATTTTCTCAAACTTTATGCAGTTCACCCCTGACATAATTCATTTATGGCACTGAATCTGTACAATTTTTTTTTCTAAAAGCACAAGTTGATGTAAACAATGGCACACGCACACACTGAACTTGTCATTCTGAGCTTTTGTTGAGTCGGCCCAACCATAGAACTGTAGTTGGGGGCGCAGTTTCCCAATTCAAGGAAAATTCTCCGACAAGAGGGGGCGCTTAAAAAGTACCCCTGCAGATTCTTTCAAAAAGAAGGGTCTGTTCGGGTCAAGAAATGGTGGGATTGTGTCAGTATGGCCCAGGATCATCTCTGTGGATTTAGAGGCACCCATTTGGGAGCCAAGCAGACAAAAATGTGATTGAAAATTTGTCAGAAGAGCCTAAGGAAGGTGAGGGATGTCATTTGAAAAATGGCGGCTGAGAAGACTTGCATGGGAACATTGTGACTTTTTGTTTGGGGGGGGTGAGTTTGTTTTTCGGGGCGGATAATTAAAAAAATCATCGGTTAACCTACTAAAATTGAAAATCAAGTGAAACCTGAAGGACCAAACAACACATTGTTTTTTGTTTGAGAGGCCTCAGGGACTTCAGCTGCCTGCTGTGGGGCTCCAAACTTTGTTGATTTGGTTTAGTGCACCCTTGGGCCGGTCCAAACTATAGTTGGACCGGTCCCAACAATAGTTGGGACTGATGCTATAGTTGGGGCGTAACAATACCAACAGCCTTCGCGGCTCCATACGATCTTTGACAACAGCCAATTCGGGCAAATCGTTAAAACATCCATCGATCGGGCTAAATAGTACGCCTCCAACTTGTCACGAAGAGAGCATTATACGCTGCAGTTACTTTTTTTAACAGAAATGGACGTGCAGACATTGATGAAACCTCCCCATTCTTGAAAGGCTTTCTAAATTAGGCATGCAGAGGTGGACTCTTCTTCAGACCAGGACTGGCTGTTCGCGAATGGTATACGGAAATAATTCCATGATCCTCTGAGAAGGCAGATTCATGGGGTGGTTTCAGTTAGGAATTAATTTTCCAAAAATTATCGAACGTGATAGAACGGCCCAACGTAAAATCCCCCTAGGAGGACCGCGCGAGGGTTCCGGAAGCTCGCTGCGCGACCGTTTACTTTCAGGCTCTATACTTATCCACTAGCAACCGTCCATTTTTGTCATCCATAAAACTTGGGTCAACCGAATGGCCTCTACGCCCTAGTGGTTTTGTTTTGTTTTGTTTTTTTGCTAATTTCTTAATTAAAAAACATTTTACGACCAAATACAATGAACTCCCATTTTAGCCAACCTGGAACACACCTACGGAGCAATATAAATGCCTTTTTAAAAAATACACGAAAACAAAAAAACGACATTCGGTAGAGGCCTTTTAGGCTTTCATTATAGGACACGTTACGTAAGCCTCCAAGGGTAAAAGAATGCCCCTCTAGACGACTACCGTTTCAAAAATGTTTGTTTCATTTCCTTAAAATGCCAAAATATGCAGTCTCCGTTGGTGGTGAAGAAATTAGAGACATTTGTGGATGAGGACTATTTCTTGCATGGTGAGGACTACGTGGTGGTTTGCGCCTTTTCTGAGATAACCATCTTGCGTTCCATCTTGCGCTCCTTGCGCTGTGGTGTATATAATTTTGACCAGGAGGTGACGGAAGAAATCGTCGAATCTGAAACGGAATACATTTTATACTTTTAAGAAGAATATCTTCAGTCAAATCATACCGAAGGCAAAGCCCTTTATTTTCCAGATATCTTTCTGCACACTGGGAAAACCTACACGAAATACACAGACACTGTTTCTAAACTGAGCTCTAAAAGTTGACTCTCGCAGAGAATTCACTTCGTTACTGAAAAGCTGTGCATTTACCGTATGGTGAGAGCTTAACCCCATCTGGGTCATGTCTAGGGCAATGCTTCCAATCGGCTGTTGCTACAGTTTTAGACCTTTTTACGCTGTTGTGGAATATCAACCGCCGTACACAAACCCTCGCCTTTTGGAGAGAGGCTAATGATGTGGCCTATCCTAATCTTTGTTACATAAATCTAGGTTTAAGCACGCAACTATGTGCAAATACCCTAACACTGACCTATAATTGTGATGCTATAAACCTTTTTTACCGCACCAGCTGCTCTGTGGATAATTTTTGAGTTAGTAATGCCAATTTAAAACAAAGAACTATATCAGGACAATTAATGTTCTTCAGTAATTTTTGAAATGTAATGTTTATAACGCAATACAGCTGCAAACTTTACAGAAAAAAGAAACACACGTAACTCTTAAACACGATAACAACATGTACATGCATAATTGCCTACAGTAAAAATCTACGTGCTTTAAGTAAGGTAGAATTTTTCATTAGTAGGATCAAATTTCGTGATCCATGTTACTTCTTCTTTTCAGAGGTGAACTCAAAGAGAGGCTTGAAAACCTCATCGAAGGCAGGTTTCAGTTGCTTGATTGCTCTCTCCTTCCAGGCGGCCAGCTTCGGGTAATTGGCCAGCACGTCGTTCTGCTGGATCGTGACGACTTGCATCATCTGCATACACGAGGTGACAAATATTTCAAGGAAAAGACGTAAGAAACTCGAGTGATTTGTAAGGTGTTTTCTCATGGCCGTGAAGAATTGTAAACAAACTTGAAGAATTTGGGGGTAAGCCAGAAGAAATGTTCCCTGTTTAAAACAAAATGGGCTACCAATCAAAAATACATTTATTCTTTATTTTCTTCTCTTTTTCGTAACGGTCAAAATGAAACAAAATGATGTGTCACGATCCGATGTCTGTTGGCCTTATAATTCCTATTAGTTAATAAAACCACAATGTAATTTGTTTTAGCTTTGCTTGAGTAATAAATTACCGATTTGAACAACGCATGAGATGACGTGGATAAGTTGTTATTCAAGTATCTTCGTAGCCCTTGAAAAATTAAAACTTCTCTGAAAGACGATTCATTTTTGAAAATAATCGTTTCAAGAAACATTTGTGAAATTTTATAAAATTTTAATTTGTTACAATTTTTCCAATCCGTTGTTTACGTAAAGATGTGTCTGATTCCGCAAATGGTTAAGAGCAACACTAAACATCTGTTCGAAGCTGGAGCTTTCAATCGACATGTCGATAGGTCAATGCTCCGCAAAATTGTCTCAGTTAAATTTGAACCCTTATAGGTATAGAGAGGGTGAACACTGCATTATGCAGTAGGAGATTTTTATTTTCAAAGAATAAGATTCTGTTTTATTTGACACAAAAAAATGGTTCAATTCTGACCAATTCTTTTGCTTCATTTTAAACGTCAAAATTGGGCGGACAAAACCCATTTGGGTGGTATCTTCCACCGTCGCTTGGGTTAAATTTAACCCAAGCAATTTTTAGTGTGATCCACAGATTACGGCCATCTGCGAATTGAGGCAGATCTCAGGCAAAGAAAACTAGCATGGATCTTCCCTGGACACCGTACATGTGATTTTTCCCTCGTTGTGCAGCATTGAGAATGAAAGAGTAAAATGAATTTCATTGGTCTACAAACCTATCCCCATATTGTTTAGCTTTATAATCATAATTACCTCTGACAAGCAGCATATATCGGCAATGCTGATTTTATCTGAAGCAAGGAACTGGTTGTCTCCAAGAAACACCTTCTCAATAGTTCCGAGGGCCTTGTCGAACGCCTCCAAATCTTTGGCCAGTTTGGCTTCGTCGACTGGTTTCCCAGTAAAAATAGGCGTCAAGATCTTGAAGAAAAAACAAAAATAATTGACGAAAGATGCCACAGTCAAATAACCAAAAACTGCCCGTAGAGGGTGTCCTCTCAATGGAAACCCGGAAACGAAGACAAATGTTAAGCTACGTAATCCAATGATCATTATTACGGCTGCATCATAAACTTAGCGAAATATGCTTCCCTTTGTCTTTCTTGGAAAAAGACCCTGGAAAAAAACGCTCTAAGGGAGGACTAGCTCAGTCAAGCAGCAAAGAGCTGAGTTCAAGATCGGTATTCCAACAGCGCATGCCCAAATTGAAGCGTGTCCGATATCATTCGGGAACAGCGCTAGCATGCGCGCGCTTGACGACACTCACACATGTTGTTTCTCATTAATGACTCTGCCTTTTTTGAAATACCGATCTGACTCGTACGCTTCGGTTCGTACCACAGGTTTTCTTTGTTTAGAGCCTGGGTTTCCTTGTTTCAATACACCCCATTAATGGCCGCTTGTACATAAAGAACACACAGTAGAAGTTGCAAGGAAAACCGGTCAAAGTGCTTTGAAATAACAAAAGTTCCGTTGACTGATGGATTAAAAACACTGACCAAAGAAATTATGTAGTACACTTGGAATTCTAAGATTTAATTGACCTTTACATCGACTTTGCTGAAACTACGGCACACACTTGCAGATCATCAAACAGTACACAGACCTTGCCAACGAAAACATCGATGCCTGACTTTCGGATACCGGTGTGGTGCCAGTCCAGATACTGATTGACTTTGGCCTGTACCTTCAGGTCTTGCGGGTACCAGTTGTCGGCCACTTTGTTTTTACGTGCTAGATACTTCAGGATCGTCATACTGCAAGACAACGAGCAAACACAGACTCCCTCACGTTTCTGGATAGTACCGCAACCACAAACTGCTCGAAAATCTTGCGGTAGTCATGCACTGCATAAGAGAATCTTGTAAAATCATGCATGGTGTACCTGTTGGATGCTCACCGTCGTTCACTTTGCTTTTACCCCAATTAGTTGCATTACAACATATTTGTATCTCAACATTCAAGTCTTGAACCAAGACTACGTGCTTCGGTTTGTTTACTACCTTTTGAAGTAAACAAATTCAGAAAATGCCAAGCGACTGGTGAAGCAGTCTCAAACAAATTATTAAAAGTTAAATTTAGAAAAGCCAAAATCCAGTTTATGAAGAATTCTTTCTTGCGGTACAGGGTTTGTTCGTATGATCTGCAACATTGAGCCGAAAAGGGCAATTGTGTAGGGATTTAAATCGCTAGCCCGTGCATGCTCATAACATTGTCTGTGGCCGTTTCCAAAACGGCTATAATTCTCCGAGGCATTATCTTTTCTTGGTTTTGCGTAAGTACCGGGAAATCCCGGCACAACTGCAACCACTCTACCATCCACGTCTAGCAAATCCCTTCTTGGGAATCGTTGATTTTCTATTTGGAGTGATCTGCACCAAACAGAACGGTGTCACAAAAGCGGTGCTATAATTACCCTTTTCAGTGTTGCGCTGTTATGAACAATGAAAGAACGATCGAGCCTCTTTTGAAATTAAATCAGGGAATTGCAAACCTAACCGAAACGTTTTCAGGTATTAAGTTATGGCACACACTTTAAGTTAAATCTTTTTGGTCAATATTTCATTTTTGGTTCAATAACAATGGGGGGGACTTTTGGAGAAATTTGGCATAATATGGTCACCTTCCACAAAGCAGTTCTGAAGTACTTCATCAAATTTTCTATAAATTTCATGATTCCTATTCTCCAATGCAGAAGTTTACAAAAATAGAAAGTCATAATTCTGTCTGGCCCCTCTGATCAATTAACTAGTTATGTTTGTGGGTCAAAACAATTATGTAAGGGCATACAAGTCGTGATTTGGATAGCGCACGCCTTCCGGAGGCCAGCAGCTCACAAGCCTGTAAAGTGACTGACGCCCATTTTCGATCACATGTATTGCTAAGGACTCAACATTACACAGCATGCAAAACTTGACCCTTAATAACCATTTACCATTCTGACAATTTGAATCCATCATCCACGATGCTTGGCACTGCTCCCATTGGATTAATCGACAGGTAAGGCTCTTTTTTATGCTCCTCTGAAGTGTAACACAAAATAGGAAGAATAGTAAGAGAACATGAGAAAAGGTTTACAGAGACATGTAAGTACTTTGATGTGGCCGTTCCGTTTAATATGCTCTTGGGGTATATCCATTTCAAGCAGTGTCCAGTAGGTTTGTTTTTACAGAACAGCGTACCTTTCGACATGTCGACATTTTTCTCCGTGTAGGGAATCTTAGTAGCCTTACAGAACAGGTAGACACTGCGAGAAGGTTGGGAGAGCGGATGTCCATAGACCGTCAATACCATGGTGACCAGAGCAGCTGCGGATCAAATCCTGAATATCTGGAAAAAACTGTATCAATTGAAAGAAGTTACATGTAGTAGAAAAATGGAACCGAGACCCCGCATCGCTTAAGTGATATAAACTTAACGTTGCAACAAGACAAACAAATGCCTGACCTTACTTGATTGTATAGCTGCGATAAGTCACAGGTCTGTTATAAGTACATATTTTTACATCGTTAGACAAGTGCAACAAACCCAGCCAATCGTATGATCCACCTCGTCGCCAGCTGCGAGGTTTGCACACGTTTGGTTGCCTATGTCCACAACATCGTACACACAGCACTAAAAGCATCGGATCTGTACCAGCTACGTACGAGGTCGAAGGTCACGCTTGAGTGCTTACCTCTACAAACCAAGTCCACCCTTCAGAGCCATTCTTAAGCATGTAGCAGTTACCCGTGCCCCCAAAACGTTATATCAAACAAGGTTGCACCATAAAGTGTTTCCCACACAGAGGGTTCACGCAATTAGCATTTAATGATGGTGTCAATATCTTCCCTCGAAACTTTTAACATTTCGAACCATGCGCAGGAGTAATTATATTCAAATCAGTGAATGGCACTTTTTTTGGAAGATGTATTTTTTGGGGGGGCACATCAGAAATAAAGCTGTACTATAAAACATAAAAACCACTGCCCTGAGAGTCTTCCATACCCACAAAAATGTTTCATCTCTTTAATAACTGTCAAAATGTGTAAATTGCGCTTTGATATCGTTCTGCTCCTGGCTTTATCAACGCCTTTTTATTTTTATCACCATGATCAAGGCACATCATAAACGGTTATTCGAATAATACTATTTTGCACACATAATTTCGTAAACGTGTTTCTATAACTGATAACACATCATTTTGTATACAGAGGAATCTGCTTTTGACATTCAAAATGTTTCATGATTTTAGTGGCGATTTCATCGGCAGCGACGGCTTCAAATGGTCAGCTTTGTCGCTTGCTTCAAGAATTGTCGTAGATTCTCCACATGCCGGGTGCGCCGTCTCTTTGGCAATGAGAATGGTGTTCTAAATACCATGAGATGATGTATCCTGCTTCAACAATACTTCCCTATATATAGCAAGGTAACCATGCTACTACGTGCGAAAACGAAGCGAATTTGAAACCTGAATATTAGATCTGCATGTCGTCACAATTTCGCGTTTGTGTTCGCTTTTGCGCAGAGTATGAACTGGCCTTAACTCCTCAAATACGCCTGAGGACGCCCTCAAAACTTGAGTGTTTTGTGATTTTGTGATCGGAGAGGATCCGTGCCGCATTTGGCCTACAAATTGCACTTACGTATGACGAACGTACTCATTACTTTTCAACTACAGTTACTTTATTTTAAGAAAATGATTTCTATGTCTGTTTTCCATAGTTTTCTCATTTTCAATATGCGTTTTTTTCATGAACTCCCGTTCTGTTACCCAAGTACTCCTCACTTTGCAACAGTTTACCGATAGCAGATTGCGATCGAGTAAGCCTGCATCAGCGTTAGAAGATTTTCTTTATGTACACTATCCGTACATTTGTTACCAAGCCTGATACACCGCGCTAAACCTGCTTTAAGTCTGAGTACCAAAACAGGCTGGCCGGAGTCCTTCTGGAGTCCGGGGCAAAAGTGTTGATCAGGCTACTCTGAGTTGTGTTGGGATTACACACACTAACAAGGTGTCTGGCTTTATTAAAGTGTGCCATGATTATTTTTGTGGCATCTTTTTTGCGTGTTACATTTGCAATAGCGCCATTACTTACAAAAGAAAGTTAGGCTTTCCCTTTTTGTGATGAAAATACCACGTCGTAGCCGCCAACTTCGTCAACAATCTCCATGCATTTTGTGTTGCTGCACCGTTCTCAGAAAGGTCCCGTTCATTTGGAATTGGTTTGGACTTGAATTGTTATCAGCAATTCTTTTGAGCAGCCCCTGATTTTAGGGGTTCATTCCCGAATGGCCCAATGGGCGAGCATACCTCACTGTCAGACACTTTCATATCATGGAGCTATAAAACACATTGAGGTTTGCATAAAAATGGAAAAAATAATGAGCATGTGCATTCAACTCACCTGTTAAACTGGGCGATGATGAAACAGTTGATTAAAGTGCACAGCCTCGGCTCAGTGGACACGACGCTAGGATGCTCGTTTCATATGGAGCTTGTTACGTGGCTCTGCACAACTCGGAGCCAAATTGCAAGTCACGGATGTAATTTTCGGGCACTAGTAAGGCAAACACGGTCTGTTTGCGTGAATGATTATGTAGGCGGTTTTAAATGGACGCACGGAACCACCGTCTGTACTCTGCCCACATGGACCTTCCAGTGATTGTGTGCACCATCAAACAAAAAAAGCGTGCTGCGCACTGTTGCGTAATCTTGTTGACAGAAGTCATCAGACTTACTCAGAATATTTGCTTCAGGGTTTGAGATCGAAGATGTCTTGCAAAAGTGACTGCGGAATAATGGTGAAAACTTAAGTACCCCAACTTGAAACAGGACCACTTTTAAGGCAAATAGAGACCAATCTCTCTGCGAAGGTAAGAGTCATTTTAAACCTCTCTGCCCTCCGTCTCCAACACTGACCTGGTATATATGACGACAATGCAAGCGCATAAATTTCGGAACCAAATGGTAAACCCACGGAGGAATAAGAACACTGTCCAAAGCAAAGTCGGCATAATGACTGATACTGCCCAGAATGTGTGTAATAAACACTACTGCAACAATCAGTCCAGGCAGTCGCTGCCATCACTGCATGAAAAATGAGCCCGTAAACGATCCATCAAGCAAAATAACCAAGACTGGCCACACCCATCCCCTTGCAGTCACACAGACCATGGAGGAAGGACACAGTGTCTCACGGCTTCAGGATGTGCCTCTTGTCAGAGACCACATCGTAAAACAACATGAGACTGGACGATAAAAGAGTTGTGCACTCATATGCGCCATCCCACGCCAAGAGAAGAAGTGGATCGAAAAACAATACACGATTGTTCAGTTCCCAGTTTTAAATTGCTAAATAAAACTACCCTCTTTTCGCATAGTGTTGGCATTAGAGATTTGGGAATGTACAAATTAGACTTGAATACTGAAGAATTTGGACCCCCCAACATAAAAGGGGGAATGAGTGGTCAATCAGAAGGGTTTGAAGCAAACATATCTCCTGCATTATGTGCACTTTGTTCGTTCATGGAGGTAGGAAAAGACCTCCTTGGTTCATTCTACACTGAGCTTGAAGGGCGACCCCCCCAAAAAAAACCGTGAAAAATGTTCCTCAGTGTTTGCTTCCTTATGGATCCATGCATGAAACGCTCAAGCTTCAAGTAATTGAAGTTTCTGAATGATTGGCGAACATTGTTTTATGATCAACCACTAAGTGGCTATTGGTCAATGATGTGGGGTGTTCATGTATGTGGGCAGGCATAGTGAACACGATTAACGTTCGTGTACTTGTTTCACTGAAGCATTCCGTCGTACATTTCAAAATTGCACGGGGGGGGTTAATCTGCACATAATGATGCAAGATATGGGGCGAGAGACCCCCCCACTTTTGTGTTGGTCATTATTTGATCAGAATCTCAGGAATTCTTTAACGACTTCTGGGGGATGTGTTAAGTAACAATAGTCTAGAGTGTGTAGGGATTGGACATGTGGGGGGGTGCCCATCGGCCCCATATCGTGAACGGTACCAATCTGCAGGACCTTTGAGTAAAGAGTGGCGGTGTGTCTACTGCGCTGGTGCTTTGTTACGCGCACGCACGCAAGCAGGCCACAAAATCACCCTCGTTGACATTTCAGTGCTTGAGTGCGTCACCCACTCTTTTCCAGAGAGGAAAAACACCCTTTGAAAAGCCACGTGAAGGATTACCTTCTCAACAAGTCTTCCACCCTTTTAGAAAGGGATTTGAATTTTTATTGACTTTTCCATCTAGTCAGAATGAAACCCAGTGAAGCAACCGCCACTCTATTCAAAGCACTACAATAGGGACCGCTCGAAATGTATGTAGGCTGACGATTGGTGTTTTTTTCACTCTTTTACATTAAACAAAATCAACGTATGCAGCGCCCTCTACCTAATGCGTTGTCTCAGTGACAGTAGTCACCCATTTTGGGCCACTCAGAATTTGTTTCGGGCAAGGACGATTTTCCTTCCTCCATGCGTAAAGAAAGAATGTTTATGAAGGGTAGTGGGTAATCTGCACTGGACTGTCAAGCCCCAGTTGACTGATATGGAAATTAGGACTCATCGCCTGCGGAAGAAGTCTTTCAAAGAAGCGACTTCGGATTAAATCCAGAAGCTTATTTTGTGCTTTGAAGTGTTCAAAACAGGGACACTTTGAAGCAAACCAAACAGAGACTGATCTCTCAGGGAGAAAAAACTCACATACTTGTAGAATGTCGATCGACCCCCCACCAACATTTTAACCCTGGGTACGACTTTGCAAGTGTACATGTTGGAACCAAATCAGTAAAATTGTTCAAATCAAAGTTGGCAAACTGACCATATTGTCCGTTTTATATAAGACTGTAAACTATTCGTGAAAGCATAGTGAAACAGTGGCGTTGCTAGAATTTTACGGGAGGGGTACAAAGGGACACCAGCATGGGGAGGGCACCAGCTTTCAGTGGTCCAATTTTTTGTTAACCTTGTTCGATATCTATTCATCCGTTTATTTTCGGGGGGGGGTATCTGGGGAACGGGAATGTGTGTGTGTGGGAGGGGGACGTGCCCAAAGGCCCCCCGTGGCCACTGTGATGAAAGCAGCCAAGACTGGCCGCGTCCACCCCCTTGGATTTTAAGCTGTTGTGAAGGAACTTCAGACCGGAAACCATACAGACGCAGAACCACACCCGTTCATTGTATGCTTTCAGTGCAACACTATTCCGAAGAAACGTTAGTTTGCATTTGACATCCCTTGTAGATTTATGAATAAAAATGCTTAAGTTTCAAGTAGAAGCTTCTGAATGACGGCAGAACCTCGTCGGGTTCAAGTTGTCAAAGGCTTTGAATTAATTTTTCTCCACTTGAAATTACACGATATTTATGGAATGATCACATAATCTCAGGTCACAGGCAATTAATACGGACACGACCTTATCCGTCGTTGAAATATGGCACGCCCAAGTCATCTGAGCAAACTATTTTGCTAAATTACACTACAAAAATGTGCAGACAACGAAGAAATTGAAGCAGGAGTACTTCGATTTCTGGACTTCAGCCAGAACCATTTACTTTGCTGCCACTCAATAATATGTCTGTTAGTAAATAGGTTTTCTAAACTATATTCATCCAGCCTATCTTACCCTACAAGGACAAAAACTAAAGTGACCATGTTTTGGCACTGAAGAGCTGCTCTAAGACTCCGGAGCCATCGATATGTTAAGCGATGATTTGGCACACAGCTTTCACGTAAACTCGTAGTCTGAATTATACAAGTCCAGATTTGAGTACATGCAGGTAACTTAATATCAGTAAAAGATGTAATATATAAGTCTGTATCGTGTCTGTTCGTTGTGTATGTTTTCAGGGCTCTGACACACATTCGCTTTTATTCTTATAAAAACGTGTTTTTCTTATGGTAGTTACTGCTTCATTGTAGATTAATATTTTACTATAAAGAAGTTCAAACAATGAAAAGATTTTTATGCAAGAACATTAGTGTATATACAGTAAACCTCGGATAAGTCGGATCAAATGAGAACGACCGATTTCACCGGACTTAGTCAAAGAAGACGAAATTCATTACACAGTCATCGTCAGCCATTATAACGGCCACACAGCCCACAAAAATATGAAATAAAGTAATATCACAGTGTTTCTAACGTCAGACATCATTTCATTTCCACCTTTCATATAATGTACAGAAGAAACTCACAGCATGTTTCACTGATTGAGCCACACGAGTCTTTACCGTATAGCCTTTGATCAAGGCGCCCGCGGCGAAATGGATTAGTCGCTCAAGAGCGAGGAGCTGGAGGAGACTAGTTTAAGCACCAAACCAACGCACGAAGAAAGACTACACGACGAACCGTACGCACGGCCCGCGCGCATGTGGAGTTCTGCCCCACGTAGCTTATGTTTTATTTACATTTGCTACCGTTTCAGTAGCAGACACGATATATGCGTATGCATAAGTCTCCACCAATCAAAAGGATCGCCTCTGTCGCGCATGAAATAAATTATTCATCATTACAATGGCGCGCGTATTCAACACCGCGTCCTTTCCGGCAGAGCCGTAAGCTCTAGTAGACAACAATCTCTTTCAGAATTGCCTACAATATGCAGCACCGAAGCTTGGGATTCCGATCGACAAATTGAATGGTTCAGAGAAATATGAATAATTCATAACTCATTAGCAATTGAATAATTCAGATAAACCACTGGAAAAAAAGCGCATGCATGGTTATTTTCGGGCTTGCATGCAGTTCGTCGTGTGGTCTTGGCTATCCATTTCGCCGTGGGCGCCTTGATCACAGGCTAGTACCCGTACCGTACAAGTTAATACTTTCCTCAGGCCATCACCATGTACGTGTACATGTACATGTACTTCGGTAGCTTTGCTCAGCTAGCTGTACTTACCCTAGCCACCTTATCCAGTAAAGATGCAGTCTGTGATCACGTGGGCAAATAAACGTTTTTCCAGCCGGAAATCAAGTTCACTCATGCTGTATAGCAATGGGAGCGGAGCAAGAGACGGAGCTCAAGCCAAGGTTATAGGCTGATACGCGAACTTTAAAAAGTACGATAAAAGGCCTGTTGCAGATACCTCTGCTGTGAAAACCCAGTGGAACTAGCACGAAAATGATTGATTTGGACAGGAAAATACCGAAAATTCCCCATATCCCTTTGTTTACTAGAATGACTAAATGTACGAAAATCTTTTTTTGGTCAATCCGATTTAAAAGAAGGAAAACACACAGTATTTTAATAAATGATCCGGGTTGATTTGTCTGACAAAAGCGAAAGTCCAACTTTCGCGATCCGACTTAGGCAAGGAATTTTATTAAGAACCACTTGAGAAGTGAAATGTTCCAAGCGATTTTATCTGAGGTAAGCAAAAATCCGACTAAGAATCTGCCTTATCCGAGGTTTACTGTACTTTCTTGACTGAATTACTTCTTCAGCTGTTGGGCTGTAAAATCGAAGAGGAGCTTAAAAACCTCGTCGTAGGCAGGTTTCAGCTGCTTGATTGTTCTCTCCTTCCAGGCGGCCAGCTTCGGGTACTTGGCCAAAAGATCGGTCCGCTGGATCGGGATGATTTGCATGATCTGCCGAGATATAAGGTTAGGGGATACGAATCTCGTTAGCTTATAGCTTATGAAAAATACGTTCAGGTATTGCAGGTGTGCCATAAATCATACACAGCTGCATTTAGGCACAAATAAGTTTAAACGTCACTGTCCGAACGTTAGATTTTGGAAAGATTAGAAGTAATAACTACCTCTGACAAGCAGCATATATCGGCAATGCTGATTTTATCTGAAGCAAGGAACTGCTTGTCTCCAAGAAACACCTTCTCAATAGTTCCCAGGGCCTTGTCGAAAGCCTCAAAATCTTTGGCCAGTTTGTCTTCATCGATAGGCTGTCCACCCATAGGCGTAAAGATCTTGAAAAAAAAGATGCAAAAGTCCAATGAACTGAAATACCTCGATAAAGGATGTTTTTAAATAAATTTAGGAATGCAGCTGGACGTAACAGAATTAGGTGAATAGATCTGACAGAACAAAATACATATACATCCCATTTAAGGGAGTAAATGCCCTAAAAATTCTTTGAAATTGCAGCCTCCAAGTTACTCTAAAGGGTAATACGGGCGATTCACAATAGTGCGCCTCCAAGAGTTTGCAACGCGTTGGCCAATCACAAAGCACGAAATTTGTCGACCCTTTCCAAACGCGAAGAAAGGTGCCCTGCAGCTTTTAAGACTTGTCATGTCCTTGAATTTGAGGCAAGACAGGATTAATACTTCTCTTACCATGCCGACAAAAACGTCAACGCCCTGTTTGCGCAGACCAGTGTGATGCCAGTCCAGATACTGGTCGACTTTGGCCCGCACCTTCAAGTCTGCCGGGTACCAGTGATCGGCTACTTTGTTTTTACCAGCTAAATACTTCAAAATCGTCATACTGTGTGATTGGAACAAGGGAACAAGACACAGACATGATTTAATTTCACTGACACCGCTGCTAGCGCTAAGGAAATTCTGTGCAGATATTAACACAGCAGGTAAAAACCGATTACTAACATCCATTATGACGTCATGCACATGGTATGCCTTCAATTTTTAGATATGGCGTGTCCTTTTTTAAACAGTCAGCATAATCAAAATTGTGCAAAAGTGGAGATCAATAAGTAAAAAGGTAGCAAGAACTATTGAGGAACTTAAGAATCACGCATGTGGACAAATCCTCAAAGAGGAGCAAGTATTCATGTACACGCCAAATATTTACGGATATTGGCGTCAGAAACCGAAAATTAACATAACGGGTTTGGAAAATTTTGGTCAGTTTCGCAATTTAAGTCACGCGACAATGGCAGCTATCAAGACTAAAAGATCTTCAAAATTGTAGTCTCTATCTTTTAGTCTGCTAACCAGACTGTCCCAGTACTGATCGGTGACAATAATCATTTTGCGAATGAAGCTGACGTCCAGTTTCCAGTCTTGAATCTATCTTTACAAGAATGTCTTGAGGCAGGTTGATTTGAGTTTCTATGACCGGTCAGTCTAGACTGAAATCATTGGTTACTTTTTTTTATTCAAGCTTGGAGTTTAAGGACATTACATATTGAGAAAGGATTGAGAAAGGTGAACACTTTTGATGACATAAACAAGAAGGGAACGACACGCCAAGCGTTCGGACGGCAAATTATCCCTGACGGGACCGAATGATATCACAGACACATATATAACGCAATACATCAAGGGGCTGCGAGACAACACAGAGTTTTCAGAAGTTTAGGCAGCTCTCGTAGATTTCGATTATGGACAAAACTCAGTTAGGGCTCAGATGTAGCACAAAGGACGAGGCTCCAGCCTTTAATGGTGACAAAAAAAATTAATGTTCGGCCGACGGATCACTGACTTGCATTGCCGCCTGGTTCGGCATCATGTCAGGGACAGGCTACATGTATACACATACATATTCTCATCTGCGTTTAAGATACACAGAAGGAAGCCTTATAAAGCACTGCCTGAAGATCCCCACCAAATTGAGCGGGGGGGGGGATTACCCCCAAACAGAAATTCGAACAATGCTTACATGTTGATACAAAAGGCATTTCCAGCTGAGTATTGATTTCGCGTTTGGACTAGTCTGCACCACAGAGCATGGCACACAAACATTGCGCGGAATCGATCGCCGTTATTCTTGAAAACGTTACTGACGGGTACACAGCAACATTGTCCCACCAGGCTTTCTTATGCGCATGTGTACAACGTTTTAAGGAGCAATTCTCTTTGCATGATGAGTGTAGTTATGTAACATTTCGGAATTTGCTTTAGGCATCGAGCTGTCGCGGAAACTCGATGAGATGGGCAGCTATGTACAAGTAATCACAGACTACAAGATTGCGGGTTAGAAGCCAAGCTTAGGATTTTTAAACATGGTTTCTGCAATTCTCGCTAAAATGATTCAGTGGATTCTTCATCTTTTTTAGATTTGAACTTTTTCATAATTTATTGTCAATAGGGATAGTAACGCACGAGAACTAGTCATGCACGCAAACCACATACACGCAGCGCCGAGCTTGCACGAACAAAAATCGTTGGGATGCTGTCGTCAGTACATGCAATAAGAATATAAAACAGACGACTTGTAATCATCGATCATGCATTTACCACTCTGACAGCTTGAATCCATCGTCCACGATGCACGGCACCGCCCCCATGGGATTAATCTCCAGATAAGCTTTTGTTTGATTTTCACCTGCATGGAGGAAGAAATAGAACGAACAAGCTTAACAAGGGTCAATGCGATCACTACTGGAAAGTAGTGCCTATAGTAGTACCTATACCTATAGTGCCTTTTTATAATAGTACCTATGTAGTGTCTATTAGTTACCTATAGTAACTACTTGAGTACCTTTATGGTACCTACCTGTAGTACCTACCTGTAGTATCTACATGTACTATACATAATGCCTACACACAATACCTGTAGGAATATTAATGGAATTGGAGTTGCTCTGTGATGCAAAATGGGGCAATTTCTCTATGTTATTTTGGAGCGCATTTTGGACATCGTCTTTTTGTTTGGACGAATTCAGTCAATTATTATGCGCTAAAGGAACAAAATGTAAACCTAAAAATTCTAGCTGGCTACAAAATGTGGGAGGATACATACGGCATCCCTCCACTTCAAAAAGGGGAAGTCCCCTCCATTGATTGCCATGCCGCTTATGAAAGCGTATAGTAGGGGAGAGTTAGAAAAAAAGATATCATGCAATCCGTAAGTTATGACTCGACTTATTTATAACAAACTGACTGTACGACGTTAAGTGATCCAAACAGTATACCTGTCATCAAGTCGACCGTTTTCTCCGTGAAGGGAATCTTAGCAACCTTACAGAACACGATGACACTGCGAGAAGGCTGTGAGAGCCGCATTCCGTAGACCGTCAACACCATGGTGACCAGTAATTAGGTTCGAGACCAGTGAGAAAAATCTGCGGGGAAGAAAATAATCGCATCCACCGGAATGGGCCACTAAATTGGGATTTTTGGGCAAGAAAAATATAGCAATATCTATTTCAGATGCGTGAATAATCGCGCCCTTTTACGACAGTTTGATCAAATTGATGTGCTTGCCCTAAACGCGCACAAAAATAGTCCTGCATAATTTGGAACATTTTAGCCAAGCAATTGAAGAGGTGCAGCGCGCACTCGTAATTCGCTTTGCTTTTATCTGTGTCATATCTTAGCGGGCTGGGAATCGCCAAGCAACAGCCAAGCGTGTGCATGGTATGATCTTGTGAACGGCTACAAACGAGGTTTCGTCTAGCGTTAAGGAAACACGTTCTCATGCGCACATGGTGTTGTAAAGCGAAAAGGCAAACGTCGCGTGTGAGTTCGAACGTCGTGCTTATGTGAGGTTGAACGTCGCGCTTGTTAGTGGTCAGGGCCAATTTCATGCATCTTTATAGCATAATTTCTTTCCCCTTTACAACAGCAGAATTACCAACCAAAATGTCCAAGTGTTGTACATTGCTTGTGACTAGTGTTTAACATAAAAATAACATGGATTTTTAGCTGGTAACCTGTTTTTCCTGAGCAAGACAATAATACTATGCTAAGCAAAGTTTTGTGCTTAGCAGCTTCATGAAATTGGTCCTGACCACTCATAATCACGACGTTCAAACTCACACGACGTTTGCCTGTCCGCTTGAGGATACCACACCTACGTGCCATAAAGGTGTTACCGTGCGTCGAGGATCACAAGGCCAAGGTTTGAACAAGCATACAGTACTCGGCACATATGCTGTCGGCAATACACAATTCAGACTGGCAGGTGCAGTGCAACCTAAGAAGTCCAAGGTATTCTTGAACCAAACGTTCTGCTGTTCATTTTATTCTCACCATGGAGGTACGACACAATATGCATTAACCCACCTGCAGATTGCGGGAAACGGTTGACTCACGTGCACAATCCCGGGCACTTGGACAGCGAGTGAGTCGGTGTGTCAGCAGATAAAGCGAAAGGCAGGGTTGTCGTGCCCGCGGCGAGGAGAGTCAAAAGTGCAAGTCATAGCAGTAATTCATAATACCCAATGCAAATAGAGCGATAAGACGATGTTCATGCCCCGCAAAACGCAAGTCATGGAGGGGTCGTCCAAGCTGGCAAGTACAAAACCCACTCAATAAATAAAGGGTCTGTGTTCAAAGCTGGTAAGCTGAAAAAAAAAACCAAAGAAATAAAAAACAACAATAATTAAAAAAAAAAACAATAAACCAAAACACAACACGGGTATCGAGAGGGGGAAAGTGGGCGCTTAATTCCCCCCTCCGAAAAATTGTAAGCAGCGACGCCTGTGCTTAAAAATGCAAGTCATAGGGAGGTTGTGATCCACTGGGGCCAAATACAGTAAATAATAGCTTTCGTATTCACGGTGCATATTAAATAAGGGTGCGCTCAAGCACAAATGGATGGGGAGTGCGCCGTGTTTATTTATGGATCCCCTGTCAAGGACGGCTTTAGAACCAAAATTTCGGCGGACGGTATTTTCATGCAACCTTGCATGACATTTCTGAGGGGTTAGGCTAGATTTGGGGCTTTTTACACGTTCTGGAAGCCTGGGAAATGAAGCAGGCAATTTTCAGGGGGGGGGGAGAGCCCACATTACCTTCTGCCTTGGACCCACCCTTTCCCCCAGTGAGTATCAGAGTAACTGCCAAAATACGTTCTGCACACCATGGGTCAGTGTTATATTAGTGATTGTGAAAATCGTGATTTCGACAAGCAATCCATACCCGAGAATGGCACTTTCCAGTGCCAACTTTAGTAAGTGGGAGATGTTGCTGTAAGTATTGGAAGGTACGGACAAAGCACAATTAGGCTTAATCCTGATATTGGTAAACTGGAAAACGTAAATTTGAATAAACATTAACATAAATGGAAAGTGTACAGCCTGATTGCGATTTGGTATTTGATATTGTGTGTCAAAATATTGTCAAACCAACATTCCCTTATCACTTTTTTTGTAAAACTCAATTCTGTGATTTTTTAAATACATACAAATGAATAATTATGAAAACCGAGCCAAAGTACACATGTACATGTATACATGTACAGGGAGCACCGTGAAACAAAGGCACTGAACTCTCCCCACAGATCTGTATCTAACGTAAGCGATATTACTTCCGTCACTGAGACTGACGGAGTAACGTTATGCACTTTATAAGTCAGTTAAATTTTTACATTGCTGCCCGTCTGATGTTTACTTTTCAAGGCGTATTCAATCCTCAAGATTTTTCCCAATAAAGTGTATTTGCAGGCAAATTTCTGGTCCCACTGCGTAATATTGTTACCATTCAGTTAAAGTAAACGTGCCGTGCTTTTCACCGATGTGTATACTTTACAGCGTGTTCAAAACCGTGCAGCTAGAATGCTTTCTGACAGGCTAGAAAAGTCGATCGTATAACCCTTGTTCTCATGGAACTGCATGGGCTCCAGTCAAATGCAGAATTATTTACAAAGTGTGTCTCTTAGTTTTGAAATGTATCAATGGTATCGTCCCAGAATACAATGAAGATATATTAATTGTCACCGCTCTGGTCTTAAAACGTATGTTTATGGTGAATCCGTTTTATTATAAAATAATCCGTATTCTTTTGAACTATTTTATGCAGTGTATCTCAGTATTTTTGCAATTTAACTTATTTATCCATGTTTGACTTTTAATATTCAACAGTGTAATCCAATGTTAAGGACTAAATTCTAGTTTTTATATAATATTGTATACGATTTAAGTTGGTTTTTCTAATTAGTTCTTAAATTAACAATTTTCTTAATTTCCTTGTGAATGCTGTAGTTTTTAAGCTTTCTAGTTTTAAGCGCCAACGAGCATTAACCTTTTAATGGATTGGCGCTTTATGAATGCATTATTATTATAATTATTATTATTATTACTTTATTTTTAAAAAGTTTAACATCCATCATCTTTTTGAAGGGGTGGCTGCCGATTACAAAAACATCACCCTTTGTCGGCACTTTAAGAAATGACATTATTTGTTTCGCTATCGGGATTTTACTTCGCGTCCCTGAATAATGATCTGATCAGCCAGGCTCGTGTGTCTCTTGGATGTGTCCATGCTTCTCTTACCGCAGTGGAATATCTACGGAGAACGGTGGTGCAGAGCCAAGGTACACATAGTGAGTGACTTAAAAAGTGGGGAATGATTATATTGGGAAACCCCCCCCCCAACAAGTAGGGAGGATATATTCCCCATCACCCCGGGATCTCTACCTAAGGGCCAAGGTGTGTGGTATTCCCAGCCGCCTCCTCCAGCCCGGCCGCCACAGCACGCACTGGACGACGCGACCCAAACCACCTACAGAGGGCGTTCATCACACAATGCCGAATTCGGTTCCCTGGGTCTCGTGGTAGGGTGTACATGTCATGTGTATACACGGGGAGAACGAAAACCAGAATTTGGACAGTCGAGGTTGAAGCTGGTTTCCGCTTCCAGGCGTCTTCCATTATCATCTTGGACTCTGGACTCTTCTAGTCTCAGAAAGGTGACAGTAAAAGGTGCAAACAGACGGCTTTAATTATTCATTAATATGCACGCGCTAAAAATAATGGCACAGTTGGAAACGCTGTTATACGTCACTGATAGCTTCATGTGTCTCTCCACGAAGGCGTGGACCCTCGCAAACGTAGGCCCATACAATTGGCACTGATGGAAGCTAGGGGTAAGGAGTGGTACGAATTTCCGCCCAACAATAATACACTTTGCAATCAGAGTGGACAATCCACAAGTAGGCAATGACGATGAGAAGCAGGGTCGATAAACCTGGGAGTTATTCCATAGGTACTTCCTTGAGACGTTCTGGCAGACCAGCGGTCTCGTCAGGTATGACATCACGGATAGACTGATAAAGGGTGTCAGGGAAAGGCATTCTATTTTTTTGAGATCGCGATACTTATAAAATGAGGTCTTGTAGCGGAAGGGTTGCTTTAAAGTGTGGACGTCGGGGATTTGATCTCCCCTTACTTCCGTCCCTAAAAAAACTTCGTAGGGTTTCCACCAATGAGGCCCGGGTTCGAGTCCCGGCTTAGCCCGGGCTTTAAGTGCATTTGGTTTCCAGTCCATACTCGCTCTCGCAGGGTTTCTCCGGGTACTCCGGTTTCCTCCTGCCTCTAAAACCTTCTTCCTAGCTCCGTAATGTGATGCTGATTAATAAACTGTATGAATAAACGTGTAGTTATTGGCGCAAATAGCCTGAGTAGCTGAAAGCACCATTGAAACAAAACAAAACAACAACAGGCTTCGTAGGTTGACGTAAAATATGACAATTTGAGATCGAAAACGCTTGTCAAATATTGAACAAAGCATTTGTTTAAAGGCCAACAGGTCCCATCGGCTTGTGACCTGTCAATAATTCACTGTCCAGTCCGGTCAGAGTCGACAAATTCATATTCAAGCGCCGCAGCGATGCATGTAGGTTTAAGTGTTGTCAAATTGATTCAACAGAGATGCCAGTCAAAGTTCATTGTAAAACTAACATGAAGGCCGCGCATGATCAGGAGCTATCACGATTTCGCCAGAGGATATCTGCGTGACTTGGCGTGGGCTGTGATCCAGGGGCAAGGGACCAGACGAGAAATGGGCAGGTCCATCCATTTTTTGATGGAGGGGGCGAGAAACGCATATAATCTACCAATCTATTCGCCAACATTTTTCTTATAGTGCAGCCTCCCTTTGACTGCAGCAAAATATACAAATATGCCAAAATTCTTATACATGAAATGAGATGAAATCTCAGAATCTCGCTCGACTGAAACTGCCCAATTAGCTTGTCATACTGAGCATGCACAGAGCAAGATGTACGTTTGCCCCTGCATGCCCTGGTAAAACGGACTTGTTCAAGCCGGGATCCTGTGTTTACATGCACTTCGTACGGGCTTATCGGATACGGATACCTTTATTCACACAACTCACTTTACCCACCGATAGAGGCAAACACTTTATAACCGATAGGCCTATGTTTCATTGGCACGTTCACATATGTGCAAAACATACTATAACACCAGTGATCCATTCAAGTCCGTTTGATGTCTGACATTCGTTGAATAAGGGTATATACTGGCAATATATTGTGTTTAAACTTTTCCAAAATGGTGTCTCCAGAGCGGAGGATCTTGAAGAACCTTGTAGCAGTTTGCGTGGTGTTTGCTCTCAGTTCCCTGTGCTTCAGTTCGCTGCAAACGCTCCAAAGCACCTTGAATTCCTCCAAAGGACTGGGCCTGGCCAGCTTAAGTTGTACCTACGCAGTGGCCACCGCATCTGCCCTCTTTATCTCTCCTGTCCTAATCAGGAAAGTAGGACCACGGAAGACTGTAATACTTGGCTCAATGGGTTATGGCATCTACGCGGTTAGCAACTTCTACCCTCGATTCTACACCGTCATCCCAGCGGCCATTCTCTGCGGTCTGGCTGCAAATCCATGCTGGGCTGCCGCCTCCACGTATCTGAACATCTTAGCCGCCAACAAGGCGTACCTGTCTAGTGGGGTAGCCGAGGTGCTCACAAATCGGTACTTTGCCATGATGCAGATGGCGTGGCAGTTGTGCTACGTCTTCTCGACGTTCCTGGTATCGAACGTCTTGACGAGTCGGATGTACGGGGAGGATGAGGGCTTACTGGAAAGGAACTTCAGCCTGAGCGGGTGCGGCTCCCGAGACTGTGGGGCCGAGATACCGGAGGATGCCGTTGGGGCGGTCCAACCACCGCTCTACATCATCCAAATATTCCTAGGGTGTTACAGTGCCTGCGGATTGCTCCTGGCACCTCTCACCGGGATCCTATTCATGGACGAGGTGAAACCGAAGTACTCTGTCGTTACCGCTGGGGAGCAGGTACCTCGTTCCACTGACTGGCTGGACGTGTTCCGAGCTCTGAAAGCCCCACACCTTCTCATGTTGATGCCTTCTGCTTCTTTCGTTGGTGTTCATTTCTCCTTTGTGATGGGCGACTTTACAAAGGTATGTATATATATTATATGTATTTTATTTCAAACTGACGTCTGCCATAAAACAAGTAACTTTTTATTTTCATATCCAAATCTCACACCTCAGAAAGAACTAAAGTGACGTTGCGTTCAGATATTTTTCGCCATGGTCCTATCCCCCAATTAAAACATTATCCAACCAATTTCTGCACATAAACATTTAACAAGCCACATTTAGGTACTTACTTGTCTAAACTAGAACCGCACCTGATTTGCATTAATTGCCTTTAACCATGAAGTGTGGTAAGAAAACGTTCTGCCGGATACAAACAACAGAGTTAATGTTTTATTTGCTGTGTAATAACTGTTGAGCCATGATCACATGTTGCATTTTCCTTGTTCTTTTTGTTGGAATATAAAAAAAATGTAAAAAATAAATACATGTACATAAAACTTTTGAACTTAAATGTGTCACATACACAGTCTTTTGTTGGCTGCACCCACGGCATACACGTTATCGGTTACGTCATCATGGTTTTTGCATCCACCGACACCCTGTTCAACGTGGTACTCGGCTGGATCAGAGAGTACGTCAGCCGGGTAGTGGTCACCACATTTTCCGGGGCTCTGGTTATGACCACGCTGGTGGTATGTTTACTGTGGGATCCAGAGACGGGAGAAGTCTGGCACCTGTACCTCCTAGCCGCAGCATTTGGGATCAATGATGCCATTCTGCAGATCCAGACTAAAGGTGACCTATGTAGCTCTGTGACGACAAAACATCATACTGTTCAATACCGTAGACTGTACCGTATTTTTGCCTATACCAGAGCCTGCTGAACTATGACCAGCCGTCACACAAAAGAACGTGTTTAATTCACATACCATTAAAAATTTCACGCAGCGATCAAATCACCCAATACTAAATACTACTTAATGTTAATTTTGGCCCTCTTTAAAAGTAACGGGGCAAATACACATTTTGAGGCAAAACGTTACACCAGTGCATGGTTGACGTGTCTCCAAATTCGGCCACCAAGTAAAACTATGTATTTATTTTTTTCCCCTGTAGTCTTCATCAGCGTGCTGTTTCCATCCAGTCAGGGGCCGGTCTTCTCGGCCTACTTCACCTTCACCGCTATTGGCTTCGCTGTTTCCTTTGGTGTCAGCATCCCAACTTCCATCTGCGTAGCGTATAAAATCTACGGCGTCATCTCCTTGTTGCTTGTATCGCTGTTGCTTTACTACATCGTTGAGATCCGATTCTGGATGCAAGGCGCTGCGGCAGATGGCATCCGTGACGACGCAGTCGAAGACAATGTGGAGAAAGACGAAAGTATTAAGGTGCAACTAAAAACGGATGGTGGCGCTGTTCGGAGCCGTACATCTAGCGTTTGACGCTGTGCTGATTCCAGGTATTGCCAAGTATCCTTGGAAGGAGTTAGTTTCTGAGATATGAGCAACATATAGTTCCCAGGGTGATCAGCGGCTTGTCCTCGCAGCTATCTGTGCTATGATAAATGAAGTTGAGAACAAAGTAACCCCTCTGGACAAACGTTGAGCTAGGTATCAATAGAACGTACACCAGTGCAGAAGTCCGGCTAATTGAGAAACGCCCTCTTTTAAAACGCTCAACCTACATATGTGCCATATCAAGAGTTGCGCACATAGGGTGGAAAGAAAAGTTTTCCGTTTCCGATGGCTGTTGACTCACAGCCGTTTCCATTTTCGGCAAGAATTTATGCAGGGTTCACCAGACTCCACTGACAATGTGCCTTTTAGATCCAGGAACATGCCATCATTGGATCCGATGGATGACTGGAACGCCATAATGTATTCACCCCCGGCATTATTGATCTGCGTAAATTGCAGAGCTCAGGCCCTCAGGGTTATCACTGCACGTTAATCACTTTCACTGGTCACCCAACGCCCTTACAGCGCCCTGGAAAAGCCAAATGCGTTTTACAAATTTTTGTGAAGGAAAGAAGTCGCAGCTATGAGACACCCTTTGTGACGTTATCAGTATATACGTTAAAACAAATAAATAGGTGATGAAATTAGACGCAACAAATGTATACAAGAAGACAAAAAATATTCATAGAACCAAACCAATATATAAAGAACGACACAAATATGTACATGACCACATAAATGTACATATATAGGGTGAAACTAAGATTGAAACAAATGTGTCAATGGGAGCAAAATATACATTCAGGTTGGAAAGATGTCGGACAAAACGAATATAGGCCTACAGAGGTAGGTCGAGAGTAAATTTTATGTGTGACTAAATAAATATACAATCGAAAATGTAGAACCAAAATCATAATACAAAGCAGAAGAGTTGTAAACTTAAGGTTGTACTTACAGAACAAAGCAAGTTGCGATTATGGACCGGTCCGTTTACGTTATATCGTGATATGGACCGGTCGACAGTGCACTCCTTCGCGTTATATCGACCGAAGCAAGTTTGCAGGGAAAGAGTGAAGCAGGCCGCACAGTGGGCATGCGTATCCATGTATGCTGAGATGTATAGCAATGACATTGGAAGGTAATAGTGACTTAACATAAAACCACCACGTGCAGTGACTGCTCAGGGTTGCAACTAGCCTATAATTTTTGATTCGGAACCCGGATAATTTTAAACCACGCTATACTTTTACTTTAAAATGACGTCCAACAACAGACACCTTTTTTGCATGGCGGTACAAAATGATAAGTCTTACTGTCTTTGAGACACTGCATCGAGCTGTGCTGGAAGAACAGTCCAATTGCCGATGACATCTTAAAGTTTCCCCGACTACATTCTTTTATCAGTTGTATGAGGTGTACACATCACTTAATGTCAAAACAAAATATGTGCTTTCACCATATCACTCAGGTGTGAATTTTGCGTTTACACCTAACATGCAAGCAGCCAGATTTAGACAGTCAGTTACTGAGAACCGGAGAATGGCCGTATAATTACTTCGGTGTCGTATTTAGGAAATCTACGAATCACCATAGAATCACGCAAGTAATACTCCTCCTGTGAAATGACGTCCTAAAAATTACGGCCATAGATCTTTATTGGCCTCTGTACTGAGTGAATACGCGGCTTCATCAGACCGAATATAAGGCCTATATGGCGAATCGTCTTGATTGGAAGTTCGCTTCAATGACCATGGATTGTTTTGTCTTTTTTTCACGATGCACCTCATAGGCCTACATTTTTATATATTGGTTTGGTCCTATAATGTATCGATTTAGTCCTATAAATATTTGTTTGTTGTTGTATATAAGTGTTCCGTATATCTGTTTCGTCTTTTGTTTCATAATCTTCGACGTATATTCTATTTGTTTACTGATAAAGTCACTAAAGGAGCCTCGTTGACGAGCAAAGCATCGTGAGTTTTTCTCTGTCCTATATGTGCGCGTAGGCATTCGGTGCGCTCGTGTCATGCGCCTGTTCGAACTATCTCCGTCCAGAGCGCTCCACAAATTATGCATTTGCCCTTGGGCAGCGGCCTGTAACGAAGGTGGGTTAAGAGCGAAGTTACTTGCCATGCACGTGATTTCCAAATAGAGGGTACTTTTATCATGCTCCAATTTCTGGTTAAAATCTGTAGATTTCAGTCTTTTCATTTTTAGTAACATAATCCTCCCGAGGTCATCCCTTGATCATTTGCAAAGCCAAGCAAAAATAAAATGCTCTTCAGGGCACCGACGGGGCTTATTTCACTACGAGAATAAACAGTCACGGTATGTTTAATCATACCTCTCCCACAGATTCTGCTTAAGTTAAGTGATAACGGATTAATTTTTATCTTCTTTGAAAACGTCAATTTAAATACAAAATCTGCTGACAGTTTGCCAGCAACTCTTCCAAGCTTGAACCCGGCTCTGTAGCGCTAGCGCTTTGGAATGCACATGGCCGTCACCAGTATGCATTTGCGCACAATGCCAGTAGTCACTGCGTCCAGCCCTTCGGTTGCTGTACGCACGGGTACAGTTATTTTCCCCGAGACAGCTACAATAGCGAATGCCAGTTGCCTGTCTCTTGCTCTGAGCCACTCTAGGTACAAAAGTTGGTGTATCAACACGTGTAGAACTATACGAAGACACCGTGAAACCCATCAGCGGTTTATACGATTGTTCTTCAAATGTTACTGATCTGGGTAATTTCCTTCCACATCCAGTGGGCCTACACTGTTACCTGACAGATAAAACGAATAATTCTTGAATCTAAGAAATTATCAATTCCCTTTTGAACAAAAAGACAAAGGTCCTGCAAGCACTAGGCCTATTGCTGAAGCATTTCTGAATACATTTCACCAAGAATGAGAATATTGCTTGTTTTATTACGAAGATAAATGTCTCGGTTTGTCTTTAGAATGTTGTCTATCTACTGTTCATCCTTTGTTTAAATACGCTGGAGTGTATGACTGAGAGTCTCAGGCAATGTGTGGCATCCGAACTTTTCTGAAAATGATTTATTGAATGGCTGTCAGACCACTCTACCAGATAAATCAGTTACATTATGTAACCAGTAATAAAAATGCTGGAATAAAGAACAGGAAATGTCGAAGTAACCTTAAGCTCAGCATAAGCTATTTTGCACTCTGCACCCATCTGTGACTGGCTGCACCATCGCATGACTAAAAAGACCCGCGCACCCCAAGACAAGAGGGATCAGATTGACCGCATCAAGGTCTACATCGGTGATGGGGTCAAACGGGAAGAAACGTCGCCATAATCAGTCATGACATCGACAGTCGTAATTCCGTATGAATATACATGCACACGTTCATTTATTTGCGTAATCTCTATGAATCATGTAGATAATTTCGATTTCAGTAACTTCCAATGTTGACAACATGTAACTACAAGGTAGGTAGGTAGGAGAAATCTAATACGTTGGCGCCAAAATCAGCAACGGAGTGGCCACATTAACTGTTCAATCATTTTCCAAGCTGATAAACACGAAATCGTGCTGTAATTAATAACATCCACTAACCATTGTAACATTATAACATGTACCTGCTGCGAATGCCCTTTGAATAAAAACGTGAAAAATCCAAGGCCCGATGTTAGAAGTAAAAGAACTGTACTTTTTATGAACGAAATCAAAAGAAAGGAAATGAATTTCGAAGTTATTTGCTCCACGCTACAACAGACAAAACCCAAATCTTATGTCGAACCGAATTTTATTCTGTCAAGAAATTAAATTGTAAATAAAAAGGAGGAAAAACAAATGAGAAAACAAAGACTGAAAATGAGAGCATAAACCAATGTTTCCAAACAGACACCAAATCGATTTGAATAACTGAACAGTTACTCCACGAGCAATACCTATGACTCGTGAATCAAATTCAAACCGGCAAAACCTCCTCGGCTACGTTAACACTTGCTTCTGTAAACTGAATTTGTCGTTTTCAAACGTCGTCCTAAAACAACCCAAGTTTTCCTTAAAGTGGTTGGCATAATTCCCCATAACCAGAAAAATGAGGAAAAAAACACGCAAGAGAAAAGAGGAAAGGAATGCCTTCCACACATTGGTGTATAAATCTTTGGTATAAGAAACAGCCGAATTCCACAACTGTCCACTATTGTCCCGATTAATCATGAATGAATCCTTTTCAGAAAGCAACAATTTCGTGAACTTCCCCAGTGTTTGTTGAGCTACACAAAACACGCAGCGTCCTCATCAAACACACTGCTATTATTCCATACACTATTTTATCTCTTGAACTGAACATGCCACAAAGATACCCTTCATCCAATAACTTTACAAGTGTATGAAACCGACACGATCCCCTTTTCACGGCTGCAGTAATACTGAAGTCAAGTTTGTCAGTTGTTCCCCCCTTTCGGAAAAAATGCGGCACTTTACGTCTCATTCTTTCTTCATTTATATTTCAGTTTCGATGAAACAACGTCCATTTTTATTGGCATGCTTTTATATTGAAATGCGCGACATTTTAAGGCCTACTATTTTGAATATGTAATAATCTTGTAAATGATTACATATGCACTTAAAAAAAAACAATGTGATTGTGCTTAGAGTGGATTTCACAAAAAGCAGCTTCATCCTTGTTGAATATCGATTTTCTACGATCAAAAATGTTGACTACCCAGACAGACCTACATACCAATAATATTTGAATAATCTTCTCCGTGGATATCCCTGTAAATCTAAAACTAAATATATTTTAACTCACAGTGGCAAAAAGTATGAATGCCACTTAAGTGTTTAATTAACATTTAAAATGTCACTATCACTTGGCAAACCAAACAATCACGAAATCACCTGTTTGTCCTCAGATTGGTGACTGCATGAGACATTTACAATGTGTCCAACAATTTTACTAGAAAGAACTGAATGACAAAGAACATGTTCTTTCGTTTCATACGTTTGCAAGCTTAAGAACCAATGCCCTACACAAAAGGATCAACATGATCCATGACTGACCCTGTGATGTGTCACATGTCGTGTCACATGATACGTCACATGATAAGAAACTGACTGTAACTGGAGAACATGGTACAGGAAACTGTGCGTCGCTAAGCAATTTCAAAGTGTCAATATATACCTGACACTCTCTCACACACTGGTTAAAGGGTACATGCAGGGCAACTGCTTTTTAACCATGACCATTAAAATAATACCTTTGTCCTTTTCAATTAATCTTACCTGCAATGTTTGTTTTGCTGCGTTAAAAGTTATTTTGGTGCACTTTAGCTTTTCATGCTTATGTCAGTATCCGTTTTCCTGGCCAAACTGTGATGCTTTTCTGGGGAGAAAAACGTCAACGCAACATTGAAGTGTGCACAAAAATCCGCTAGAATTTTTGGCAATTTCTTTTTCTTTGGTGATGCGTTCTTGAGTAAGTAGATGGCAGTAAGGCAGCGAGCAACTCTCTCTCATGAAATGTTTTAAATTAGCAAATTAGCATTCGCAATTTTACATAGTAAAACCTATACACTGACCAGTGTCTTCCCCGAATGATATCACAGCAACACTACCCTCCGTTGTCAGAAAAAGCACGGACACTTTCAGATGTTTCAAAACATACACTTTTCAATACACCAAACCTCAAAAAGGACGTCAAGTAACTTAAAAAACTCGAAGAAAATAAACGAAGTTACATGAAATGTGCGTCTACGACAAATTCACTGCCTCAACCCTTTCAGTTGAGGGGATGGGTAACACGATACAACATATGAGATGATTGCCAATAATTTCTTGCAGTCATTTTTCAAAAAAATCAATGATTTCGATTTGAAGAATGCCTACAGTAACATTAACATGCAGAATTAGAAGATCCATATTCACCTGAAATTGTACTGAATTGTATGTTTTTTGTTCCTTAAGATAGGCAAACTCTCCTGGCTATATACTGCATGCCTTGTTTATCAGATTTTTGGGGGGAGAGTTGTACAGGCTTAAGCTTTGTTTGCACTAGACTTTCTTGGTTAAACTTAAGAGACTTTTGCACATTTAAAAATACTACATCCAGTGCAGGCATTCGGTGAAATGTCAAATCTGTCAAGTGTCATCTTCAATTTTACCTTCTGCAGCAGATATTTACAGGGCCCCACTGGGTTGTGGAAGAATGACACTATCAGCTTTATGTTATAAAGAGTCTAATATGGACCTCCACTGTAACATAAAACTTAGATTCTGATCATGTGAATGGGTCAGGGCATGCCCATATGGCCTCTGCTGTTTCTCGTGCATGTGCCCACACAGTACTATACTTATACGTATACGTATGCAACACACAATGGACGACTTGACAAGAAAATTTTTAGTAAGCTTCTTGCTTTCTTGAAGCCACATCTGGTGTCGGATTATATATGACATGCCACCAGATGTTTGAAGTGACCAAGGGACTTGCCGCGGGTCGCAAGTAATCCATGTGCAATTGGAAGAATAACCGCGACCGAGTGTTAACAAATTGTAACGTCTTACACTGTTTAGTTCAATGCAAATGTGGTTCAGATGTAATGCTGTAAGTTAGCCCTGAGCTAAAAACACAGAGGATTTTTTTGTCCAACTGTTAAGGGTGCGAAAGTGCCATTGGTTTTTAAAGGAACTTTTGGAGGATTCCTGAAGGCTCTGAAAAAAAAAACAAAAAACGAAAAAGCCATCAAGAAATCTGCAAAGCTGTGTGTCAGTATCGAAGTCGAGTCCATCTGCAGAAGTCATCCCACAAGTGCCTTCGCAAGACCAGTCATACATAGGTTTGTGGACAGTGACAAAGGACTGCTGTTGTCACATTTTATTTGAACAGCTCATAGTTGAAGACTGGATGACTTAAAATGGACTTGAGACAGACTTACATAGATTACATACATAGGCAGGTTTACGGCACTGTTACATAATGGCTTGCAAATATGCTATTTTTTATTAAATTTTGGATGAATCTGGAATAATCCATGCAGAAACATGGATTATTCCTCCACCTTGTGAAAAAACCCAACGCCATATTCTTGGCACTTCATCTTTCTTCATACAGGGCTGCCAACGTTTATGTGAGAGTATAGGCGGAACCATACGTAGTGCTGGAAGCCGATTTCAGTCACTAATGTATAAGTCCTGAATGCTCAAAACACAATGCTGCTATGATGACAGTTGATCCAAGTTGTTTGCTCTTCAAGAGAAAGAATGCTTGCAGGTCCAGAAATCATGTTTTCAATGCTTAGTTGGGAGAGGACATAGAAGTGATATAGGTTAAAGCGTGATAATTCTAACATGGGCCAAAGAGCATAAGAATAACTTGAAATGTGTGATTCTCGCACTCAATGTGTGAGAACCGCAAGCCCTGTATGACATCCAATTGACAGACAGTAATACCATCTGGTCTGTGCGTTCTTCAATCCTGCAAAATCCCACAAAAAGTGCTCAATGGATTTTGAAGGAACTGGAAGGTTTCAAGGTTAATACTCTTTTCAGCAGCCCCGCCTGGCTGCTCCTTGTACACCGGCCTCCGTATCTCAGATGCGGAAACTTTCGTGCCGGCCGTCGATGTGTCTGAGTCGCAGGTAGAGGTCGGTTCCATAGCCATGCATGGTCTGCAAGACCAGAGACCCGCCCAAGTACTCCGCATAGGCTTTGGACACAGGGAGGCCGAAACCAAACCTGGAAAAGTCAAGGATCGAAACAGCATTTCATAAAAAAGTTTTTGCTTGATTTTGGCTTGTTGGGGGAAAAACTTGGTTTTAATGATCAATCAGAGATAAAGAAGCAAAGCAACGACAACAGTTCACTTGAAGAGAACTGGGATAGGAAACTACCTTGCTGGTTGATTTCTGATCAATGATACAGACAATTGTCAGACTTCCTGTGCATCAGAGTGTGATTCAATGAGGCGTAGATACCAGTGAAATATCCGTTAGGGTAGTGTGTGAGGGGCAGAGAATAGGGAGTTTTGACCCCAAAAAATTGATTTGGTTTTTCTGTCCGACCTTTTCATTCCAAAGAATCTGTGTATGTTGGTGCTTTCAGTTCTGTTTGATTTTTTAAAAGGTTAAAAATGGTTTGGGAGGGCGGGGAAGCTTGATGTCCCCTCCCCCAACCAACTAGAACGGTTGTCACTGCTTACTATCAAGGAGGTACCACCACACTACTGTGAAGTGTCTTGGAGCAGGAGTTTGGTTCTGAGATGGCTTGAGCAAAAAACCTTGCGACTTACCCACAGAAGGGCCCGGCGGTGGGCCCATTGTTCGTATTCGTCAGAGCGCCGAAGGTGCCTCCTGTCACCCGCGGGTCCACACTGTCCTGTGCAGTGGTAAAGTGGTAAAGGAACACCTTGTTGACGTGACTGTGCGAGATGCCGCCCCCTCGGTCGGATATCCTGCCCAAAAAGAAAACGTCATTCGCAAATAAGGTTTTACAGGTGTTACCCGTCGTCTGCTGCATGCCTGGCAAAAGAACGTTAAGCTATCTCCTGCACTATGAACTGTCTGGAAAACACAATAATCTAATGCCCTCCTGCCAAGCAAAAATCAAAGTATGCTTTCTTCTAGCAGTTACAAAACTTTGACTCTTTTGTTCCAGGTTCTGCCCCTACATGGCCCAGATATTCACACCATGTTCTTGATGTAATCTGAGAGTCGCAAATAATCTACTGCCTGAGTGGGATTTGAACCCACAACTTCCTGTTTACTAGCGCACATGTCTTTACAAGCCTGTGACTTTTGGCAACTCTGTGAGACCACACTGAGGATACAATGTGAATATGTACGACGATGTAAGGGCAAAGGCTGGTATAACATTCACACCGGACACTAAGCTAGAATAATATCGTCCAAAAAATTTGTCTGACTTGTTTTTGCACCTTGCAGGGTTGTGACGTAGAAGTTCGTCGTGCGCCCGGCAAAAGGTCGTAAGCACACTTACACCCTTTTGCCTGGAAGCACGATCACAGTAGAAAAAATGTTCCTGGTAAAAGGGCGTAAGAAACACACTCTCTTTATTTAGTAAAAACAGAAAAAAAATTACTACAAAATCAACACAGGCTGTGCAAAAAGCAACCTTTGAACATCTTGTCAAACGACCTGGGAAATTATTTTGGAACTATTTGCGAAGAAATCTTCATATTTCATGAAAACAAAACAATTGCATACACGTGTCCTTTAGCTGGGAAATATATTTTTGGCAGCGATTATGCTTCCCGGCAAAAGGTCGTAAGCGCTTACGAACTTCTTCCGGGCACGCGACGAGTTGGACTGTTAAAAAGCCCTGTGTTTTGCCGGAAACTAACAATGTCCACACATTTCATTCAAGGTCTTACACCATTTTGTTTGCTAGTCTCTTTGACCCAAGCTCTAGAGACTCCAGGCACAAGTTGGCCCCTCAATGGAGACCCAGAGAGATATTTAACAAACCCTAGAATTGCACTGCAGGTATCTTTACATGGATGAATGAAACCGTTGTTGGTATTTCCCGCTGTGGAAGTGTGTACTGTGAGTTCCACACAATCGTCACCCAGAAACTGTGCCCCATCAATCACTTTGTGCATAAAAGCAAATGGAGGTTTTGCATGCATAATTGAAATTCCAAATCCGGGGGGGGGGGAGGGAATTTGACTAGTGTTGTCCTACTTCTGCTGGAACGGCATTGGCAGAGCGCTGAGCCAAGCTACCTGATCACAAAATCCATGTCACTGTTTGCGATGGTGATCACCACATCGGGCAGGTTGTGCGGCGTGTCCAGATGACTCTCAACAGTTGCCCTTTGAAAATGAGAAAAAACCTGTCGCATTAATGGAAGACTTTTGAGATGACAGGTAGTGGCAATTTCGAGCGTGCATACTGCGTTGACCTGATCTGCCTCCTTCCACTTGGAGTATAAATGGGTAACTGTGAGAGCGGGCATGGCTATTGTGCTTAACTTTTTATGCCCAAAATGGCAGCATTGAGCTGTAAAACCCGAGGGAGCTGAGGTGTACTGTTTCAGAATGTTTATGGGTCTGGTGAGACTAGCTCCCTGCATGTGCACTGTTCCGAGAATGCCTCACACAGTTACGTGTTGGGGCACAAGGACTGTCTTAAAGCCTCTTCAAACCTGGATAGATTAGCCACATACAGCCATGTGAGAGGAAAATATGAAAGGGGATTGTTCCATCCGGAAAATCTCTGCTGACATGGGGCATAATCAAGCCATCTTTTGCCAAGCGAGCTGTGTGAAAAAAAAAACCGAAACTGTCCAATAATGGCAAACGCTCCTCTGCCAGCCACACCCTGAAATGAAGCCGAGTTCTCACAAACAGATGCCATTTTATTGGGGTTCTGTGACCGATCTGGATGTATGGAGATTTCAGAACCATTTCAAACACTAGCACATTATGCCCATATTTCACTGTCTGACCTCCATCCACAGAGGATCTCTGCATCACAACATGATATGTACATGCTACTGGGTACCAGACCTACCTGAGTGCATTCTTAATCAACTCTGGCAGCATGTAGTCAAGTGGCTGTAGGATATATGGGAAAGTGGCCCCAGTGTGCCCGTTGATGCGTACTCTTGGGGTAAAACCATATCTCATTTCACACTGTTCTCTGATACCAAAGACAGAAAATACCGTGAATAAAACAAGGGTAATGTCATAGATATAACTCTTAACAATGATTTTTTTTTTCTTAACACTACTTGGCTTTATCTCCGGGCACTTTGCCTGATTGTTAACCTCTATGGCTTTCAAGTTGTTTACTTTAACAGCAAGGCTTACTTTGCCACTGGTTGCCAGTTACATCGACATCGGTACTTGCATTTACACGTAGTTTGAACACTCTAGGCCTAAAAGTGGTTTTTGTGTCAGGGATGAAGCCTGAGAGGATCTGAGTATTTTAACCCCCACCCCCCCAAAAAAACCAAAAAACTGCTGCTTTAAACCAACAGGCAAATGAAAGGTTCAAGAATAACGGTATTTCCAGAAATCAGGGGTCCAAAATTGGGACCACTGTTACATCTGACCTTTCTTATTTGGCATGGAAATATCATCAGAATTGATTTCAAACTATTACTATTTGTTTGGCAGGTAATTTGCATTAATTCATCACTTTTGGAAATTAGAGAACGTGTTCTGAATTTATAAAATCATATGTCTGATGTGACAGGGACACAGAAAAAAAAATGGACCCCTAATTTCTGGAATTACCCATAAATCACGGATTACGCTTGCTCAAGCTGAAAAGACTTTTAGCTGACATGGTTGAGATGCCTCAACAGAAAAGCATATGGAGCGAATCAAATTTTATTGTTTAGAGTTTCTATGTATTCTATTGTTCTGATATCAGTACGGGATATTAACGCGAAGGAAAATACAGGTACATGTATACAACTTGATAGGAAAAAGACTTCATTTCAACAAGGTTGCATAACACCTCAATTCATTTACACGCACACGTGCAGAAAGTTCACAGTTTGTGGTTAATCTTCGACTTGTAATTGCCATGTAACCTGAAGACGCTTGTATTAGTTGCATAGATTCCGTGTCAAAAGTTGTGTAAGACTTCAAAGAAAAGAAAGTCAGTTGGACATTTCCAGCGGTTTAGGACTAGTTGCCAAATTTTCACGGTGGGGGAGGGGTTGTCAAATGACCCTCCAGTTTGTACAGGGTTCAATTTCCGGCAAATGAGTTGGATTAATATACTGACGACAAATTACAATGCAGCATGAAATGAGAACACATTTTCATATTGACCTTTTCTTTGAGAGTCTGTGACATGCTCTCGGGAGTCACATGAGGACATTTTCACATTTTCATATTGACCTTTTCTTTGAGAGTCTGTGACATGCTCTCGGGAGTCACATGAGGACATTTTCACATTTTCATATTGACCTTTTCTTTGAGAGTCTGTGACATGCTCTCGGGAGTCACATGAGGACATTAATATAATTATTACCACTTTCTAAAAACGTCTACTTCAAACACATGACATCCAAGTTCTCTATTTTTTTTCTGTGCCCAACACCATGTCTTACCTCGCAAAATCTGCCCACTTTTCAATCACCTTCCTCAGGGACATTTTGGTGCAAATGATTCCAATAAAATCGTTCTGCATAATAAGAACAAATCAAGAGGAACTTGTTCACAAGTATACCGACCGTCATATCAACGCACCAGAACACACACAGCAGTTTACATGCATGAAGTTGTTAAGGTAGAGAAATGGGGTTACGGTTACTATAGTAACCGATGAGTTCATGTCCATGTTTGAGACCCAAGGAGGAAGTAAACAAAGTGGTAAAAATTTGTCTGTTGAGTTCAGGCAGTTGAAAAATCTGTCTCCTATTCAGCTAAGACAAGTCTTGTGGCGGGAAATTCTTAAGGCTTGCTAGAGATGCCAGCCATCATAGAAAGTCACAAGTATGTATGGAGAATTTTTGTTCTTTTTTCTTTTTCTTGACGAACCATGTCCTGGTGGAGGCTCAGGTGGTGTTCCGCCAACATCCTGATGCCCAGGCGGGAGGTCAGAGTCCGGTTCAGGAAGTGGTGGATCAAGTTTTCGTCCTAGACAGAAACGGAAGGCATAAAATGAATGATGCTAGGGGAGCAATCTATGGAGGACTGGCGTCCCACGGGGGGGGGGGGTTGGCTAGGGAGCAGAGAAATTTCGGAGTTATTTTATGTCAAGGATACCGCAGAGAGACAACAGCCTGATGATCCTACTTCCTTGTAACAGATTTCTACATGTGTATGTGTGGATCACGAATACCGATACACCGAGCAAAGAAAGCACAGGGTTCGAGTCCAGCCTATGGAGTTGCGGTGTCTGTCCACAAACTCTCCATCTACTGACGGCATGCAGAGATGACAACTGAGGTTGCTTCAGGTGAAAATGGAAGCATCAAGCTGTGTCCACTCAATGCCAAATTAAGAACAGCCTAACATTTTGTAAGAGTAACCAGAAACTATATTAAAGACTACAAACTATTAACCACTTCCTGCCGGGGACTCCGGAATCAGAGCCGTATGGTTTATATGCGTGGCCGGGGTCTCCGAACTCGGACAAAGGAAACAGGGCCCTGTAACAAAAGACCGTACTCTGAACAAAAGACCAGGCTGTTGGGCATTACCGACATTTTTCACTCTCAAAAGTGGTGATAATTCAGCCTTGTTTTGAAACCGTATACCAGGGTTGAGGCATTGAGAGCAAGCGGATTACCACCAGGGACAAAAGCGCTCCACCACCGCAGCGATGAGCCACACAGCACCACTGCACGCTAATGTGGCCCCTATTGAAAAGAGGTCAGCAGTGCACTGAGCCAGGTTCGTAAACAAAAGACAGTTATACAACACNATGAAGGTCACCTGTCAACTTAGAGTAGTGCCTAAAGATTACTTGGTGCCACTATAAACGACCGTTAAATGAAATGATGAATTCTTGAAGGGTTTTGAAAACGGAAAAAATGATAGTCATGCCGGCCCAGCATCATCAACATTGAAAAATGCCCCGGCATGAAGTGGTTAAAGCTCACCGAAGTATATGCTCTTCAAAACAAACTTCCCTTGCAAATTTCTGATCAAGCATCAGCATGCTTGTCCTTCCCTCATTGTAAATATGACTTGGTGTCGTTGCAAACTGACCTTGATGTGTTTCTTGGATTCCCTGAAGCCCTCTGCTAGGTGGGTGACAATGTCTTTGTGGTCATCAAGAAGCCCCTTCACCAATCGGCAATACCGAAGCTCTGTGTCACGGTCAGTGACCTGAGGGAGGGAGGGGGAATTACTCACTAAGTGGATTACCTCTGTGCCAACCCCCAGCTCCGGAAAATATTCTCCAGGAGCTTGGGTACAAAAAAAAATCCACTTGTTTCTCTGTTTGATGTTTGCGTGCAATTCATCAGCAAGTCTAGACCATGGATCAGGCGAAAGTCTGTCTGACAAATACAATTTACCGGACAGTGTTGGAGAAAAAAAAGATACCATCAGAAAATTAAATATACAATGTAAAAAAAAATCCTGCCGCTGTGAAAAATCTGGTCGACTGGCAAAAAAATCAATTTCAAAGGAAACCTGCAGTACGTATTCAGCTCACTTCAGTACTGTACATTGCAAAAGAAGCAATCAAATACTAGTTTTTATTGGAAGTGAAAAGCTGGTCCTTTTGCAATTCTTAGACAATACACGTACTTTCATCAACACATGCATGAGGGCGCTCTTTTGATATTATCCTACAAGGCGCACCTTGTCAAAAGAGCATAAGAACAGCACCAAAATAAAACATAATAATGTTTGAAATATTGGCCACTGCTGTTGTCCAAACAAGCTGTGTAACATAAAAGCAAAGTATAATTGAAACCTACCCCAAGAAAATGTTAAAAACCATGATATCTATGTTGCAAAAAAAGGTATGGGGACACTTCTGTTCGGCTGTGAATGCTTTGACTCATTAATATAGAAATCTTCATCAACAATAAAATTCATCATATTGAAATTTCTCTTTTTTACTTCTGAAAACAGAGGTTGAAAGTAATTGGGACATGCAAATACACTGTGCTTATGCAATCAAGTCAAGAAAGTCCTGGTACATGGTTCCTTTAACTCTGAAACGTCCTAGTTTACAGTGTGGGCCTTGCTTGGTTATAAAGAGGCCAGTGTTTAAAGAGCAACTCTAAGGAAAACATGTTTACTCTGATTTTATCTGTTCAAATAAATTGGAAATATCCAAATTGAACGCACTGCCGATTGTTTTCACAGCGCAACTATAACGAGCTAAAAAGGGCTTTTTCCTGTTCATGCCAAGATGCGAATTCTGAACATGCTGAATGTAGATTGGGTCATTCTGAGAAAGCAGAGAAAATGAGGGGAACCCTCGCCCTGTGTTCATAGTGGATAAACCCTTGGCCATTGTTTGGCATGCACAAGAGAATTATCCGTTACGAACACAAGGTGAGGGTTCCGCTTGTTTTATAAGTTTTCTCAGAATGACGCAATCTACATTCAGAATTTGCAGCTTGGCATGAACAGAAAAAAACCTTTTCAGCTTGTTCCAGTTGAGCTCTGAAGACAAATGACACTGCGTTCGATTTGGATGCTGCCATATTTATTTGAACGGATAAATTCAGAGAAAACATGTTTTCCTTAGAGGTGCTCTCTAAAATCTCTCTAATACAATGAAATACACATAGTAATTCTTATCCAGATGCCACTTACCTGGGGGAACTCCGACAACATGTGGAATGCTCGGATATAGAGCTCATGCACCTGGAGGATTGTCGGATTGCAGCCCACAATGAAAGGAAGGCCTCGGAACTCGGCGATGCGGTGGGCAACTCGCACGGGCAACTCCTTGTGCAGGTACTGGGCACTTCGCTGCAAATTGGGCCGAGAAAGTCAGGAATTCTGATCAGTATACAGACAACTGGAACTCCAAGGAAACAGGAAATGAACAACTGCAGCACATTATGAGTAAAGCTAGAGATTGGTTTCATACATTTTGGTTGAAACTTGCTTTGGTATGGTTAAATGTTTCAGACACTATGAGGAATCTGTATGCTGTACAATCAGGACAGTACAGATGGCCACTCAAAGAACAAAATGCACACTCGTAAGTTAAGAAGACCTTGGAGGCTTGGATATGGTGCTAAGATATGGCTCACAAACCAAAAGATCAGATGTGTTTGTCAAAGCAAAATGCTCAAGCAACCATAACAAATTAAAACTGGCCAAAAAACACAGTCATGACAATATTTTCAAGTCCTCTTGATGAAAAAATTCTGCCCCTGACTGGAAAATTGAGTAATTGTTCATCAGATGAAAGTCTTTGAGTTACCAGAAGGTGATTGCCATCAGGTGATTTGCCTGTGTAGAGCAGTGTTGCTGGCGTAAGGCGAACAGATGGCTGTGGAGAGCATAGAACCATTGGAGGAAGTTAGAGAGAGGACGAAGGACCGACAGAGGGTGGAGGGTGCTTGACTTAAGGCCGGAAGGAAAGTGAGGTGGAGTTTGGGGCACAGTGATGGAACGGATGGCTAGAGCTGATAGACATTGGCTGGAGACAAAAAGTTAGACCTGGCAACAAGGGAGAGATGTGAAAGTGTACTTCTGTTGGAGGATGGGTACATTGACCCTGCCCACTGGAAAGCACTTGAAATGGGCAAGAGCCTGGAGGGATTCCAATTGACAACAAAATGTTTGGCCTTTCAAACTACGCATGTACCAGTAGTCAGGAGAGGAAGGAGTAACAGGTGAAAATGAGCCCTGCGTTGCCTTTCATGTCATGTAATGTTATATGGATTCCAGTGGATCAAAAACTTCTGAACCATGGAGCATTTGAGAACAAATATCTCTCAGGAGCACGGATTTTTGTATTTTCTGTTTTGACAGAAATGAACTTTTCCTTGACAGAGTGAAACAAAAGATCGGGTCTTTGCCTTTAAGGGGGGGGGACAGGAACTGGGGAAGAGGTCAGGACTGAGTTACTGTTGGGAAGTAAGGATAAATGTGTTACACAATGACATAAACTGTACATGAAAATAAACATAAAATCGAGTAACCATGGTAAAAAAAGACTTTGCTGATCAATTTACAGAAAAATGCCAAAACTGTTCCAAATTCCATTCAAAAGATACTAACAAGCATTGTGTAGGTTACACCCAGAAGTTACTTTAATGTCTTTGCGTACAATTGCAGATATGAGACTGGACAAGCCTATTTACTGTACGTGTACATGTATCCATGGTAACACCTGCATCGGTGGGATTGTTAACATGACATTGTGAACATGCTACAAAGAACGCTTCGCTTCGGTAGACAGCAAAGGAGACCAAACATGTAGAACGAGGTGCGTTATATGCATATTATGCTCAGGACACAAAAAGTACGTACTGCACACTTTCTGAGCATAACAGGTATATGACCTGAGTCGTTCTGCATGGCCTTCTTTCTGTCTATGGCTTTGCTATCCATGATCTATCATCTGTTACATACATGTATGATTTGTGCATTTTTTTTTCAACAGGCAACAACAGTGTGTTTTGTGTGTGTGCGTACGGATGTGTGAGTTTTTTTAATCAATCTTGACTTTATTTCCATCCAAGACAGATACACAATAACAAACCATGTAATTATCATCACACAAAACACCAAAGCAAAATAAAGACAACATAATACAAAATAAAATAACTTTTCCTTCCCCCAGACGGAATGAAGGCTGGAACTACAGACGGGCACGTCGAGAAAAAGTGTTAGAAGAACCAACGAAAGAAACGAGGGACTAGTTCGTGGTAGTGTGCACGCGGACGGCAAAAAATCTAATGGATGTACCTTTACAATTACATTTGAAATCGTTGGAGGAAGATATATTGAAAGCATACCTTTGTGGCCGCAGCATCTATTGCAGTCTGGTTGTAGAATGACACCACCGGTCGCGACTTCTCTTTTGCCAGGCTGTAATCGTGGACCACGGATGACGACCGCATACCCGAATAGGCCAGTTTGTTGGGCCGAATGAAATCCTTGGGCTGGTCTGTTTTCGAGTTTCTGTTTTGGCTCGCACAGGCCCTGCTCACGTTGCGAACACTGACGGCTGTGCTACGGCGAGCCAGCTTCTGAAGCTGGGTGAGGGGTGTGCTCGTGCCTGCCATTTTCGGAATACACTGGCAAAATACACTGGCTACCGATACATGTACATGTACCTGCAGTGCTCTTGATTCTGAAAACTGTACTGAAGAAACTCTCCTGTATGTTGATTTTCCACAGATGAATTAACCACGCTCAAGTACAAATCAATCCATTGTTGACCTAAAGCTGTGATTTGATTGAAAAGAAAAACTGAGACACATGATTAATTCAATGTTTTACATGCATACACATAGCAATCATTAAACCTTAGCGTGCATTTGAAGGCATCATATCCTACCACTCGTCCATACGGATATACAGTACACTTAACTGACCTCCCATGATAAACATTACACAATTTGTTGTCTCAAGAGAGCTGTTCTGCAGATTCATACCCCTGGAAGAGATTTTTAAGCAAAATAGGGACTGAGATTTAATTTTGGGTGCATTCACATTTCTTCGAAGGTTTTGTTATAATGCAAATAAAAACAGAGATACTGGTCTAGTCTGGTTCCCTTTTTCAGACATGTACATGTACACGTATAGCAATTACTAACTCCATATGCACATGTTCGAATACCCTCT